GCAGGGAAGTGAAAACCGTGGTTTTAAACATGGCACCGTTTTTGCCTCCCTGCCTGTCAGCAGCAAGCAGCAGGGCCGCTGCGGCCCCTCGGCCAATCAGTGGTGGGATGCAAGACCAGCTCCATATTTAAAACCACAGTTTTCGCCTCACCGCTGATCAGGAGTGAGCCACAATTGGGGCCCCTTCACCAAGCAGCAGCAGGGAGGGTTGACAGGGGAGCCTGAAAGATTAAAGGAGCTGCAGTGCAGCCCATTTCTAATGTGAATTTAGTGGGGCCTTAGCAATGATCCTCCCTTTATATGCCAAGGATCTTCTGGAGGTAGCACTAGTGATGGCATTCTTGGCTTTTCAGGTGGTCCCTTTAGGTCACCCAACCTTCACAGCTATGGTTTTGGCATGGAGGCAAGAGAGACTGAAAAGGTTCTCATCCATTCTGTACTCAATGACCCTAATGACCTAAGAGCAATACTGTTGGGAGTCCAGTATTTCTGGTAGGGTCACCCATGGCACTAAGGTCAAAGGTGAGGTATCAGATGAGGAGCAGACCACCACAACACAAAGACCTCAGTGGTGGAGCGGCTGGATGCAGAAGACATATTTCTCAACAGCTGTGAAGGTGCATGAAATTCTGCAATAGAGGAGTAATAGAGGAGTGACCTCAGTTGTCTTGGATCCCCTTGCCACTGCACACAGGTTTCTCCTTTGCCAAGATTCATGTGGTTGTCGATGCGCAATGGCATCTCACATAAAACATGTCATGTGCAGGCTTCTCCCAAGGGTGCAACATGTACTAAAATTCCCCTCCACAGACTACAACCTTGACAGAGTGGAGAGGCTTGTGTGTACTGGTGGCCCTCCCCTTTCCCTATTCCCCTGCTGGGATATGCCCACCTGTTATATTTTGTCTTGGAGCAGGAACTCTACTATTTCTTGGGTGAATACCACCAAAGTATTTGTAAGGCTATTTTCAACCCCCCATATAAATACATAATTAACATATACATATATATACATAATTAACACATTTCTAAGAATTATATGAACACATATTTCAGTAGATACAATTAGTATATAAACACGTAAAATAAGCGACATTGATCATGTTATATAGATGATCTTTTTTAATTAAAGTCTGGATGTGAATTACTCCTAGGATACTGGTGTTAAAGTTGTCTTATATAGCATTATAAAAACAATCTTTTTAGATGTTTTAAATTCAGTTTCTAATGTCACCTGAGCCTTTTATCTCACGAGACAGCAATGTTTTCCAAAATGACAATTTCAAGGCAAATGTAGGGAGCCAGATTCTCTGTTTCACGAAAGTTAAGGGAAGGGCAAATTTAACCTGTGTCAGCTAGCATTGGTTCCCAAAAGACTGCCTGCCAGCTGAGCACAATTGGAAAGGGGTGAACTCCTGCTCTCCATCTCTCTGTGTCTGCTATCCTGTGCCAGAGGCTATATGGAGGCAGTGTGAGAGCCAGAAGTGCCAGCTGCTGCCGAAATAGCTGAAGAATAACCCACTCCCTGGGCCACATGAAGTGGACCAAAGAATGTTCCTTGTGATTCCCAGGCAAACCAGCATTGTATTTATTTACAAACCATTACAGAACTTGGTTTATACAAGGACATATGCCATATTGGTACTTAATAGCCACACTCTTTGCAAAGATTATATATATTAGTGAACCATGATCACCGCTTCATATTTAAGTCTGAGTTTATCTTTTCTGTTGAAGTGATGTATTCTTTTCTGTTACCGAGATGTATAAAATTGGGATACCAATTAAAAGCTGGAATAATTGGAAAACATCCAAGTAAATACCCAAATTGTGAAGGAGTGAAATGAGTCCTTTCTGAAAGGTGGGGACTATCTAATATATCTTTGGATCCGACATACCACTTCAGACTTTCCACATGGTTACATCTCCTTGAGAGCTCAGGTACATGCTTGCTTATAATTCTTATGAACTACTTACGTGAAGAAACCAGGGTGCAGTCATTATCAAATTGGTATACTTACATTTGTAATGGACTGTAATGTTGTAGCATGAACTACAGTTCCCAGAAGGCTGTTGGGGAAGAAAGGAAGCAGAGGAGAGCTAGGACTGCAGTGACACAACTTGGCAAAGGCAGCAGCTGGAGAGACTCTGGCAGAAACTAAAAGCAGCAGCAGAGCTGAATCTGCAAGCCACCACAGCCAGGCTCAGGAGTAGAGCTTGGGTAGACGGTAGTGTTCTGTGGGAGCAAAGACTGGTTTGCAGCTCCCTCTGGAGTTGAGGGTGTAAAGCAGGGGTTGGCAATCCCTGGCATGTGTGCCAGAGCATGACACATGAAGGCATTTTGCTTGGCATGCGCACCTCGGGGGCAGACAGCAGGGAAGGAGCCAGAGCTGCACTGTCACAACAAGGATCAGGCCCCTTGCAGCTGCCCTGCTGTCAGCCTGGAGACCCATGTCCATCCACCCCCAGCAATAAGCTGGACTGGGGCTCTGCAGGCCTCAGTGCAACAGCTTGCAACTTTGTGGTTGCCTGCTGCAAGCAGCCCAGGCTCCATGGTGTGTGGCAGGAGCCTGCTCAGAACCCGGACTGGCTGTGGCAAGCAGCTGGGAGGCTGCAAGTCGCTGCACAGAGGTCTGTGGAGCCCTGGCCTGGCTTGCTGCTGGTGGTGGGTCCATGCATGCCTCCAGACGGACAGCAGGGCAAGGGATGGGGCTGTGAGGCCACAACTAGGATCAGGCCCCTTACACCTCCCTTGCTGCCTGCCTCTGGTAAGCCAACATGTATACAAGTTGAAGTTGTGGTCTTTTTGGCATACTTCCAAAAAATGTTGCTGACCCCTGGTCTAAAATTTCTTCAGCATATATACAATGTTGTGAATGTTCCCTATCTGTTACCTTGCTATCTGCCCCTGAATGGTTTCACGACTAAGTCACTGTTTGTTACCTGTTATGTATATCCTGAATATTTACCCTAATGTGTATCCACCTGTGCTTTTCGCCATCTCTCTAGCCCATTGGCCTGTGACCCTGACCCCCAGCATCACCTATATAAAAACTGAGAATCCTTCGTTTTGGCTTCCTGTATCAATTTCTGGGGCTCTGGAGTTCAGTACACAGTCAAGCTCTTGTCGATACCTCAAGTCATTCTTAAGTGGTGGCATGTGACATCAGAAGTAACTCAAACCATATCTTTCTCTCCATCTCATTTATCTTGTGCGATTCTATCAGTTGAGATTCATTACAGAACAAAAGGCCTGTATGTGTTAAGAGATCTTAATGGATTCTCTTCACACACAAACAGAAGGCAAGAGATTGGCTCAGGTACTTGCATAAAACTTTCCATTTGTTTACATATAACTTAAAATACAACCAATCTAAGAAAACCTTGTAAATGCAGGACGAGTTTTTTTTTTGTTTGAAATATGTGAGTCTGAGTGTACTTGTACACCAATCACTGGTAGCTATAAAGCCTGATAGGATTAAAAAACCCTATAAGTATAAACAAACCTAATTTAATACAAAAAATGTTATCTCCATCAATATATAAAAAGGCAAGCAAGCTCTCGGTTCAAAACGTTCAATGGTCAGCTCCATGTTCTGCAAACTCCTTGAAGTGTCCTTGATCCACCAATAACAAATCTTACAGCAAAAGGAATGAGTCTGAAAGTGCTTGATTGCGTAAGTAATAGTTTGCAGGTCTGTGTTCTTTTGTTGGGGATTTTTTTTTGACAATGTATGGAAACTCTTGCTGCGTCACCGCTGGTGTGCTGAATGGCTCACGCAAATCCATTTGGTAACACCCTGTGGATCTTATAATTGTGATTCAGTTTCAAAGTCATCTGAGATTGCAAGTCATTTTCCTTTCTGTTCAGAGTTAATTTCCTTGTTCTCCGTGATCAAAGTAGGTGTTATAAGCACTGTATGGAGATGCTTATCAGAGTAAAAACTATTTTTTCTTGACTGACATTTTTTTGACTTGTTAAAACACATTTTTTCTCCTCACCTGGACACTTGAGTCCAAAGTGAGTTCACAGCATCCTTTAAAAAAGTTAACTAAAGATATACTTTTTAAATAACGAAAAAGGAAAGGATTTGAGATTAAACATGCCCCTTGTTAGCACCAGCCCTATGGATCATGCCATAACAATCTGCTGAAACAGAACAAATCTCTTTTAGAACATTTTTGACCACCTCTAATATTGTAGTTTTGGCCCTAAAGCTGAGTGAAGCCCTGCCACTGCGCAGAGCTGCAGGGGAGCAGTGGAGACTTCACAGGTCTGACCACGAAGATGCAGGTTTGGTGTCTTTCTTAGGTGCATGCAGCCTGCACCAGACCTCCGCTACCTCTCACAGCTTTGGGGGAAAGGGACTCAAGTCCTGTTTGCAGCTCAGATCCCATTTTTGCTTTTCAGAGCAGCTAAAGTCCTCCCCGCTCCTCTTATTCCATGACAAATTCTTACAAGTTTTGACCTCGAGTCAAAAAGACACCGAAATGCGACTGCTGGCATGATGCAGATGGGTACAGATACAAAGTGCAAACATCTAGACCTCTTAGTTCAGCAATGCTACCAATGATAGTTGGTACCAGACCAGTGATATACAGAATGCCACTTTTGCGATTCCCTAGTTGGTCTACTACAAGGCATCGCTGCTGTACCAAGAAGTCTAGATTTTTGCATTTCCTTTTGTCTCAAACCAACACAGCTTCCAAACCAAATTCATCCCCGGTACAGATCCAGCAAGCACTTGGCCTCAACCCCCTGCTATAACACAGCCGCAGCAACAACCTCCGCCTCTGGAGGCAGTTCCCCACGAAACTAAGTATGACGTCACCGTGACGTCATCCCGGCGCTGGCTGTGCCCGCCTCGGGTGGGGGCTTGTGTCAGCCCCGCCTCCCGGCCAACATGGCGACGGGGAGGAGTAGAGAGGAGGCGGGGACGGGCCCGGCGCGCAGCCCTTCTAGCCCGCTGGCGGCTCGCGCTCGGTGGCAGCCGCCCGGCCGTCCCCCAATGGGGACGGAGGAGGAGGGCGGAATTGCCCGTCATGCCGCGCGCCGGGCCCATCACTTCCCGCCCAGGGGCTAAGATGGCGACTCCCATGCACCGACTCATCGCTCGGCGGCAGGCGTGAGTGCACGGGGCAGGGATGGGGACTGAGGGGCGGCGGGATCCCCCGGGCCGAGGGTTTCTCCCTGACCCTCTGTGCCTCGGGGCAGGGGTGGTGAAGGCGGTCCCGGTACTGACACATCAGAGCTGGGGAAAGAGTGGGTTCAGGTGACACCCGGTCTGGCTCTGAGGCGTCCCCCCACTACTTTATTCTTCCCCCCACCTTTAAGGTGTCCTGCTTGTTTGTTTGGACACAAGCATCAGCCCTGGAGGGTGGTGACTGACGACCAGGCTGCTCAGGGCTGAAATCCGAGGACGTGTCAGTCAGGTTAGGATTGTGCTGCTTGTTGCTAAGGTCAAGGGGATAATTAAGGTCCAAGAGGGAGGCCTTGATGAGGGTTTGACGCTCCTGCCCTTCCTGGGAGGACACACCTGATGCACCCGTGGTTTGCCAAACCTGTGCTGGGGACGTCAGACACGCTCCTGTTTTCACACTGAAAAGGGCAAGGGTTTCTGAGGCTGAGATTTTTTTTATTGGACTGACGGGGTTCCCACCAAGTTGAAAAAGGCACCTTGCACTCTTAGAGAAGCACAAAGATAAAGTTTAAACATCCACTGAAAATCATGTCGATCATGTTGCAGTACCTTGCTCACAGTAGCGTACAGATTTCCCTCGCCAACCATGGTTTTGACTATCCATGCGTAATGTGCTATATACCGTTTTGGCTACCATGGTATACAGTTTTGAGTAACCGCCACCTGCCATTTTCCCATAACCCTTTTGTCTTGCTAACCACGGGAACTTTAAGGAACCCAACCCCAGCAGCTGGTGAAGGAAACCTGCATTTCAAAATGGTTTTGGTGTTTGCTAAAGGGAAAAGAAGTAGAAAAGCGAAACTTTGGCTATGTAAATAGAGGAAATATATCAAAATGTACATAGGATTTCACTGTAGTGTTTAGGAGTCCATTCCTGGCAGGTCACTTTTATATATTTTTGGTGTCATAGGGTCTGGATAGTGTGATAGCATTTACTGTGTTTGCATCTCATTGTTATGTTTACATTTGGATTTCCCCCACTTCCTTCTTTTAATTGGAAAATTACAATTCTTAGTTGTCTCTGTAATAGTTATCTTAATTTCCTTTTTATCTTTGGCTTGGGACATAGTTTCTTTCCTTTAACTCATCCTTTCACATGCTGTTCATGAGTGCTTTTTGTATTGTGTTTTGTGTCTTCCCAGTTTTCATTTAGTTTGTGGTTGTTGATCTAGTGCTTGGTAAGAGTTTTGCTAGGTCTTGTGCACTTTTGTGAGAGCTTTTTACTGTTAGGGCTGTGTTTAGAAATGTGTATGGCCATCTTACTATGTTTGATCAGTCCTTCTCAGCAATTAGTATATTGCTCTCAAGTCTTGATCCTATAATTGCATAGTGTGTGGAATTCTCTCTGGATCAGAAGATAAGTGGCCTTGAAAGATGGCATATTACTATGTTGACATTTGATTATATTACCTTGTCCTCTAGTGAATACAGATATGTGCTGGTTTGACACTTGATGCCAAAAGTTGAATATTTGTGTTTGTATGTAGTTTGAGAGGCCAGATCCTTCTAATTCTGCTCTTGTAGAGTAATTGTGGCAGAAGCAGAAGTCTGTAGCCACTAGAAACTTCTTAGTATTTCGGTGTTGATTTGTTGTGACTTTTTCCCTTGTAATGCTTCTAAACCAGCACAAATTCTAACATAGATGCTTTATAATGGGTTTGTTCTATTAGTAGCTAATGATACCCTGTGGATAGTTGCTTAAACTACTTATTTAAAAAACAAACAAACCCTACCTTCTCTAAGTAAAAACTGGGACATAGTTTGTCACAAAGTAATCCTAGAAACTGACAGTGTCTTTTGGGTACCATGTGTAACTGGTTACACTCACAATGATGGGTAAGGTGTAAAAGTTTTTTGGTTGTATGGAGAAAGAAGAGGCGCAAAGAAATTACAAAGAGCCATTTGAAGACTATAAAAAACACCTGCAACTTTTGCCCCTTTTGAAATATGTACTAAAAATGTGCTCACAGCTAATCTGATGTTTGAAATGCTTGATACTTTTATGTCTGCTTAGTGAATGGCATTAATTCAGATAGATTTAAGGGTGCTTTCAAATACTGAAAGCTGTTTTCTAACTCTTATACTTAACATTTTGAAACATGATAGATTTAATGGCAATTTGAGTGTGTGTATTTAGCATCTAAACTAAGGAAGTTTGAATGATTTTGACAGTGTGAGAACTGTTCTGTAGAGACCCAAGCCAACTGCCAGCTGTCATATTTGCTTCTGAGGTAAAAATACCATGTTAATTTAGAGAGGATTTTTTTTCTTTTCCTTGGTGGAGGTGAAACAAATAAAAGGCACCAAAACTTAGAATCACAGAATCATAGAAAATTAGGGTTGGAAGGGACCTCAGGAGGTCATCTAGTCCAACCCACTGCTCAAAGCAGGACCAGCTCCAACTAGATCATCCCAGCCAAGGCTTTGTCTATCTGGGTCTTAAAAACCTCCAAGGGTGGAGAGTCCACAACCTTTACAGGTAACCTGTTCCAGTGTTTTACTACCCCCCTAGTGAGAGTGTTTGTCCTGATAATCTTAACCTAAACTTTCTTTACTGCAACTTGAGACCATGGCTCCTTGTTCTGTCATCTGCCACCACTGAGAATAGTCCAGCTCCATCCTCTTTTGAACCACCCTTTAGGTAGTTAAAGGCTGCTATTAAATTTCCACTTAATCTTGTCTTCTCTAGACTAAATAAACCCAGTTCCCTCAGTCTTTTCTCAGAAGTCATGTCCCTCAGCCCCCTCACCATTTTTGTTGCCATCCGCTGAACTCTTTCCAATTTGTCCATGTCCTTTCTGTAGTGGGGGGGCCCAAAACTGGACACAATACTCCGGATGTGGCCTCACCAGTGCAGAATAGAGGGGAAGAATCACTTCCCTTGTTCTGCTGGCTAGACTCCTACCAATGTTGCCCAATATGCCTTGAGCCTTCTTGGCAACCGGGGCATGCTGTTGGCTTATATTCAGTTTATTGTCTACTGTGGCCCCCCACCCCTTCCACCCCAGGTACTTCTCTGCAGAGCTGCTGCTTAGCCAGTTGGTCCCCAGCCTGTCCTGGTGCATGAGATTGCTCTGTCCTAAGTGCAGGACTTTACCCTTGTCCTTATTGAAACTCAATTGTTCTTATCCTCCAATTTGTCTAGGACTCTCTGAATCCTAACACTAATCTCCAGCATATCTACTACTCACTCCAACTTGTCCTATGTTTTCTTCATATCTTGTTATTTATTTATTTTTAGTTTTGTTAAAATACTGCCAGAAGTTGCAGATGTGCTGCATACCCAATATCATGCTAAAGCCCTGACCATTATGAGTTGTGGGTGCTTGCCAGTTTTTGGAAGTAGACCCTACGCATGCATATCTGGAAAAGTTTTCTTTTCCTAGTAGCCTACTGGAGGATTTGTCTAATACAAACTTTTGACCTCTCCTTTGTGGTTATACTCTCACAAATGTGGCTGTGCGTATGCACACAGTGTTTTTTGGTGACAGTATCGGCTATGCTGGCCAAAAAAAGCTGATTGCCGATAATGTCATTTTTTCTTATGTTGGTGCTGATCTGATATGGACTGATGTATCGATTTACCTTTTTAAAAAAAACCAATCCCCCCCCCCACCAACCAAACAACAAAAAACAAAAAAAGCCCCCCCAAAAACCAAAACAATTTGCAACTTTGATTCAGTGTTATTCTGCTTTGCTGGAGGGATAAATATTGATTATAAAAACAAAAAAATGAAAATCCATCATTTATCTTAAATCCTTTTAAAATGAATTTATTATGAACTCTCAAGGCCTAAACCTCTTGTACTATATTGAAATAAATAAAGATATGCTTCATCAATGTTAACAATGTTAACAGTCTCTTCGCTTAGTAAATCAGTCAGTTTTAAAAGAAAAAATACCTGTATGTCCTACAAATCTAGGGTCAATTTTTAAATAATAAAACAGCATTTTTAAAAATTGCTTGTTTATACTTTTAATTTAGTTTCCATCCAAATGCAGCTTAACACATCACCTGCCTTTAAAAAATTAGTAAATGAGATATAGGGGTTTAGGCTGTAGCTGTGTTGGTCTAAGGGCATAGGCAGACAAGGTTCTTTGGGTCAATCTGATATCTTTTATTAGACCAACTTAAATAGTTTGGAAAAACAAAAACCTGCTATATTCATCCCTGTATTCATCCCCTCTCGCCGCCCCCGCCTCAGCCTGTCTCCTAAACTGAGGAGTCAGTGGGCATCTTCACTAACTGCCTGTCTTGCTGTAGCCCAGCCTCTGGCCTCTTTACTATCCCTTCCATCCAGGAAGAGTACACACCAACTGCAGAGACTTCCTCAGCCTGACAAGGGGGTTTTTAAACCCAAAAACTTGCTAAAATTTTTTTTCCAACTATTTATGTTGGTCTAATAAAAGATATCAGATTCACCCAAAAAACCTTGTCTGCCTAAATGAGATATGGCATTCAGTATTTTCAGCCATAATAAAAAAATAAATACTTGGAATCTGACTGAAAGTATATTGAGCATTATAAGGAACAGTAACGTAGTGAATGTTTCATATTCATGTAGTATATCTTTTATGTTAGCAAAAAGAGTTACACCTTAAGTGCAAAGGCAACTGTTGATCCTCTGGATTATGGTGTACATGTAAGAAGCCCTAGTCAGATACCTGATGAATCCATTTTGTTGCAGCCACTCCCAGTTCGAGAGTGACACCGCTTGTTCTTAGTTTCACAGATCCATATGTTGTCTAGGCCAGTGCTTCTCCAAGTGGTGGTCTGCAGCGAGTTGCCAGGAAAGAAAGAGATATTTTCAGAAGCATAACATTGATACGTCATAGCTCCACAGTTTGTACGTTTCAACACTCCAGGTGACGTCACTTCGTGCGAGGTGTGAGGAAAGAGAAAGAAACAGCCAGTCACGCATTTT